TAGATATGGACATTGGACACAACACAGATACTTTTGTAGATATGGACATTGGACACAACACAGATACTTTTGTAGATATGGACATTGGACACAACACAGATACTTTTACAGATATGGACATTGGACACAAGACAGATTCTTTTATAGATATGGAAATTGGACAAAACACAGATACTTTTATAGATATGGACATTGGACAAAAGACTGATTCTTTTATAGATATGGACATTGGACAAAAGGCAGATTCTTTTTTAGATAAGGACATTGGACACAACACAGATACTTGTATAGATATGGACATTGGACACAACACAGATACTTTTAAAAATATGGACATTGGACACAACACAGATACTTTTAAAAATATGGACATTGGACACAACACAGATACTTTTGAAGATATGGACATTGGAAAAAACACAGATACTTTTGTAGATATGGACATTGGACACAACACTGATACTTTTATAGATATGGACATTGGACACAACAAAGATACTTTTGTAGATATGGACATTGGACACAACACATATACTTTTGTAGATATGGACATTGGACACAACATAGATACTTTTGTAGATGAGAATATTGGACACTAGACAGCTCTAAACTAAGAAAATCTTGAAGTAAAAATATCTCTGAACTAATAATATCTTTAAGATAAGAATATCTCTCAACTGAGAATATCTCTAAGCTTAGAATATCTTTAAACTAAGAATATCTTTAAACTAAAAATGTCTTTAAACTAAGAATATCTCTAAACTGAGAATATCTCTAAACTGAGAACATCCTAACACAAAGAATATCTTAAAACTAATAATATCTCTAAACTAAGAATATCTCTAAACTAAGAATATCTCTAAACTAAAAATAACTTTAAACTAAGAATATATCTAAACTGAGAATATCTCTAAGCTTAGAATATCTTTAAACTAATAATATCTTTAAACTAAAAATGTCTTTAAACTAAGAATATCTCTAAACTGAGAATATCTCTAGACTAAGAATATCTTTAAACTAAGAATATCTCTAAACTAAGAATATCTTTAAACTAAGAATATCTCTAACTATGAATATCTTTAAACTAAGAATATCTCTTAACTAAGAATATCTCTAAACTAAGAATATCTCTTAACCGAGAATATCTATAAACTAAGAATATCGAATATCTTTAAACTAAGAATATCTCTAAACTAAGAATATCTCTAAACTAAGAATATCTTTAAACTAAGAATATCTCTAAACTAAGAATACCTCTAAACTAAGAATATCTTTAAACTAAGAATATCTCTAAACTAAGAATATCTTTAAACTAAGAATATCTCTAAACTATGAATATCTTTAAAGTAAGAATATCTCTTAACTAAGAATATCTTTAACTAAGAACATCTCTAAACTAAGAATATCTCTAAACTAAGAACATCTCTAAACTAAGAATATCTTTAAACTAAGAATATCTCTAAACTAAGAATCTCTTTAAACTAAGAATATCTTTAAGCTAAGAATATCTCTAAACTAAGAATATCTTCAAACTAAGAATATATCTAAACTAAGAATCCCCTGGTCCCTGAATGGGCGCCTATTGAACACTGAATACAGATATGAACGGAGAATTTTCAAATCTCCGCTGCTCTCTCTCTCTCTCTCTCTCTTTCCTTATCTATTTATCTCTCTCTCTCTCTCTCTCTATTTCTCTATCCATCTTTTTCTTATTATATATTTTTCTCTCTCTTTTTTATCTCTTATCTCCTTTTTATCTGCTCTCTCATGAAATCATTTTTTTGTCTATAATGGAATCCATTTATTAAAATTTTTAATTTGCCCAAACTATAAAAGGAATTGAGTCTTTTGCCACAGACTAAAATCTTACTAACTTTATCGCTTGAAATATCTAAGCAAGGTCTTCAACATTGGTTTGCAAATATGTAGAAAATAGAAAATCAGGGTTTGTGGCAGTGACTCAATTCCCTCTGATATTTTAGTTTTTTTGCGGAAGAATTTTCGAAGAAAAGTGTCAACTACAAATCCTGATCAAATGCCTGAATCTAGATTCTATTTGATTATAATGTTTCTTCAAATGTTGAATTAATCAAACCTAGGAATATACAACTAGAAGTCTAGAAGTACTAGAAATTCGAGGCGCTTCGCGCCCTTCTTTCTAGGCTTTTAGGGCGCTTCGCGCCCATCTTCTAATTAAATAGTGAACATGTTCTTTTTGTTTACATTTCAAAACAAAGATGAAAAAAGTTTTGCGGATTTTTAAAAAAAAATTCGCGGATTTTCAAAAATTTAAATTTTTTTTACAAAATTAAAAACCTCTAAAACACAAATTTTTAAAATTTCAATCATTCATAAACCTTCCCTGGGGTCCCTAGATGTCCCACAAAAAATTTTGGCCCGATCGGTTCAGCCGTTTTGACGTTTATTGGATACAAACAGACAGACAGACAAACAGACAAACAGACAAGCCAAATTTATATTTAGATTCATGACAAACATATCTAGGAAACAATTAAACAATCAAAGTATATTTACTGTACATATATATTTTGGAGAAATTCAGCGGTAGCGGTTGAACGAGGGTGAGATCCGGGTAAGACTCTGCGACGTTGTTCAAAATAAGAAAAATGCCAAGAACCTGTCAAATCTTTCCCTGGGATGTTTAGAAAGACGAAAATTTCCCTATATGATAATTAAAGGACTGCAGTATTGTTTTGGTGAATTTTATTGACGTACTAAGCCTAGGGGCGTCAGAAATAAGTTTTTGCATTTATTTTGAAAACGTCCCATAAACCTGAAAAAGTTTAATTTTGATAAAACTTTTTGTTCTGTGTGATTGCATATATTCATAGAAAACTTTCTTAAACCGACATGTTTTTTCTAAATTCACTTTTTATAAGAGTTTGAGTCAAAATAATTATTGATAATTATTGCTTTTTATCGAGTAGATATCCATAAACATACCGATGTGAAACCTTTCAGAAAGTAGGAAAGATTCTGCAAAAAAAAGTTGCC